GTTTGTGTTATTACAGAGTCAAGACTCAGTGTATGGAAAAGGGTCAGGGATGTTTGTTCTCAGGGTCAGAGCTCAGGTTATGACCAGAATAGGAGCTAATGTGTCTCCACAATCAAGATTCAGTCTGTGTCCAGGTCAGAGTTCTATACTTAGTCAAAAGCCAGGGTTAAATAATAGACAGAGGTTAAGGGGCTGGGAAGGCGGCTCAGTTATAGAGTGTTTGCCTTACATGCATGAGGCCCTGGGTTCAATTTCTCAGCACCACATAAGCAGAAAAAGCCAGAAGTGGCGCTGTGGCTCAAGTGGTAGAGCACTAGCCTTGAGCTGAAGAAGTGAAGGACAATGCCCAGGTCCAGAGTTCAGGCTCCATGACCGACCAAACCAAACCAAACAGATTCAAAGTCAGGTGCCAGTGGCTCATGCCTGTAATCCTATCTACTCAGGAGCTGAGATCTGAGGATTGTGGTTCAAAGCTAGCGCAGGCAGGAAAGTCCAAGAGACTCTTGTTTCCAAATAACCACCAGAAAACCAGAAGTAGAGCCATGACTCAAAGTGGTAGAGCACTATACCTAAGTGAAAAAGCTCAGAGACAGCACCCAGGTCCTGAGTTCAAGCCCCACACAATCAACAACAACAACAAACCCACAACAAAACACAACACAACAAAACAAAACATGACAACAGGTTCAGTGTAGGCACCAGGTAGAATCAAGACTAAAGAATGTGACCAGGATCAAGTTCAATCTATTATTGAGGTCAGGACTCTATACGGACTAGGGTGAGGGCTTAATTTAAGAGAAGGGTCGAAGTTCAGTCTGTGACCAGACTCAGGACTGTAACCTTGTTAAAGGCTAAGTCTCTATCCAAGTGAAGGTTTTCTCTGTAATGGCAGGTTCCAGAAGTGGTTGATTTACTTAGTAAATCAGAATGACTTAAAACCACAACAAGACCTCTTCTTCCCTCACCATCTCAGTTCTCTTGCCCCTCCCATTCCTCCGAAGAGAAAAATGCAAAATTGTGCCGTTAATGCTGGGCTGAGCCACCTCTATCCCTTGTCATGTGCCCAGGGTGCCCTCTGGTGGAAATCGCTAGTAGTGTAAAATTCCTCAGGATTGGTCCACTTACCTAGCCATCTCCATCTACTTTGGGGACCCTAGCCCTCAAGGCGGACTCACTGATACCTATCTTTCCTCACCAAGGGATTGGCCTACTTCCTACCCCATCAGACATCTTTGTTGTTTTGGATGTGTTTTTGTATGTTTCAATTATTTTCTGGTACAGGGACTTGAACTTGGGAACTCATGTTCACTCAGCTTGCTTGCTCATGGCTGGTGCTCTATCATCTGAGCTATGCTTTCAGTCTGGCTTGTTGGTGGTTGATGAGAGATGCAGTCTCCTGGATTTTTCTCCCCAGGCTGCCTTTGAGCTGCAGTCCTTTAGATCTCAGCCTCCTGAATAGCTAAGATTATAGGCATGGGCCACCCAACACCCAGGGTGGCTCTCTGTAAGTCCCTGTTACCAGAAACCTAGACTCCCAGTCCTGGGACGAGACACACCTTATAGTAAGGTCCTCTTTCTGGTTCCTTCCAGATAGCTCTCTTGGGCTCTAACAACCTCTCAAATAGACCCCCCCAAACAGGATCTTCCACCAAATGCTCAAGTAAAAATTCTCCCCTTCTCCCAGATTCTTTTCTCTCCTGCCTCCAGGAAATCCAGCAGGGTGACCTTGTCCCATTTGTCTCTGACACGGATGATGGTTCTGTCTAGCCCACAGTGACCGTTCCAGTCCCAGCCCCCCAGCACAGCTCTCTGCAGTCACCTCCTAACCCGCTCCCTTGCCCCGCAACACTCTATTTTCCACACAGCAAGCACAGCGATCTTTACAATCATAAATCAGATCATGCCATTTCCTTGCTTAAAACCCTCCAGTGGCTCCCATTTTACCGAAATCCCAACTCCTCACTCTGCTTACTAAGCTTGCCATGAGGGGAATTGTATCCTTCTCCTCACCTCTCCAATTTCATCCCCACCCCCATCTCTGTAGCCATTTTTTTTTTCTTGTTTTGACCAAGTTCATGCTTCCTTGGGGCATTTGTAATGGTCATTTCCCAAGTGTGCAATGTTGTTTCTCTAGACCTTTGCATGGTCGACTCTTGTCATTTGGAGCTTAACTTAAATGTCACCTCTCAGCAAAGACCTCCCCAACCATCCAATTCCCCATCACACCTTTTTGAGGTTTTTTTTTGTTGTTGTTGTTTGGCACGGAACTGTTCATTAACTAATGTCTTTTCATCTTGTTTACTTACTTCTTTACTGTCTCTCTCAAGTAGAATATGGTCTCCACCACAGCTTATTCATACTATATACCCAATATCAGGCACATAGCGAGTTCAGGAATTATCTGTTAATTAGTAACAACTGGTTTGAAGTAGTTCACATTTCCTCTAGTGAGAAGAGAAAGAAGGGACCACAGTTCTGGAGCCATTTAATGAATTCCCTTATCCAGACCAACAGTAGCTCCCTATAGGAGGCAGGGCTCCCAGGCCCTGGAGGATACCTGTCCTTTCATAAGGACCAGCTCCAAGTTCTCTGCTGAAGCACTGGGCCTCTGAGGAGGTCCATGCTGCAGGCATGTGTAAGACGTAGCCTAAACTCAAGATCCCACTGTAGCATCCCTGCAGGACTCACCAGGCCCTGCATGAATTCCCAAGGCCAGGGAGCTTGATGCCCCTGTGCTGCCAGAACAATGTCCTCACCTTCCAATGAAACAGCCTCTGCAGTGGTCTCCCTCAGGGGCCCTACCATGGATAGGCTAGCAGGGCTACGGGGGCAGAGCACATCTGCCAGCCCCACTCTCCTACATAGTGGGGTCAGATTGCCCTCAAGGGACTTGTTCCTTAAGTCTCACCTAGTGTCTCAAGGGGACCAGTCCTTGGTGTGTCAGACCTAGACAGATTGGGGTTGGGGGAAGTTCTCTGCTGGGGTTGAGTGGATGGTGAGTATCCTTCCTGATGTGCCTGAGGAGGAGGGGATGCAGAGGAAATAAATGATGATCTGCAGCTGGGGTAGTCAGAATGTGCCTCCTCTAGAGACTCAATGTCTCTCTCTTCCACTCTATTCTGGCCTCCGTTCTCCTTACAGCATTGGCCTTTGATCTGTTGATTCAGTGGTTCACTGACTTCCCTGAATCCTTATGTGACATTCACTCTTCCCCAGGAGCTAGGTCCAGAGGAAGACCTGGAGATCTTGCGAGGAAAAATGAGGAAGGAGTCCAGGAGTATAACTCTGAGAATCCAGCAGCAGGAGGGAGAGGGCTTGGGCCTGGACTCAGTACTGAATCTGAGGCATCTCTTCCTGAGGAGGTGGGTGGGAGAGGGTGGTCCAGACCACATTGCAAGCAAGCAGCATCCGCAATGGCTTCTCTTACCTTTGATCAAGGCAACAGGTGACATCTGGGGCTGCCAATGACCCAGAAGAGAGAGGATGAGCCCAGGAAATGGCTCTGTACACCCATTTTCACACACACACACACACACACACACACACACACACACACACACACACACACACACAATCCTGGACCATGGCAGAAGAGCTGCAGATGCCTTTTTGGAAAGAGGAAGGGAGGCTGATGAAGCCAGGTTGGGTGAGTTGGCTGTCATGGCCCCCAAGCGTGGTGGGCCAACATGTGCCACCATCACTGTTTGCTTGGATTGCTGCAGGGAGAGGAGGGGCTGGCTCAACGTTGCTGGATCTTCCTCCAGCCCCTCCCCCAACCTTCCCCTTATTCTTCTTGTCAGCAGCCCTCGCCCACCTGGGCAGATCACAGGCTGAGATCCCAGGCAGGGCCCACATTCCCCAAGTCCAGAAAGGTCTGAGTTTTACACTGGCCTCAGAGCTCTTCTCCCCTTGCCATCCCTGTTGGGTGGCCATGCCTCTAGACTTCCACCCCCTCCCACTCCTACTCACAAGTGTGATGTTGACAGTTACCCAAACACTGCCATCCCTCGTCTCTCACAGAAGCCTGGCAATTGCACCCTCAGTCACACTCCCACGTTCATCCAGCCTCCCTCAGCTGACACACCTGTTCTGGCTGACATTACCAGGCACGTACAGTCTCAGACAGTCTTATCTCCAGCCATGCACTCCACTCCCCTGGGGTGCCCTTCTCTTCATGAAGAACTGGTGCTAGGATGCTGAAGCCCTTGGCCACAGGCTGAGCCCACTGTCAGGGGCTCTATGTCAGCTTCTCCTTCTGGACTGCTCACCCAGAGGACTGAGTGTAAAGATGCTTTATTAAGAAGTGAGGCACAGCGGGAATGGCACGGTGTAGGCGTTGCTGGCAGTGAAGATCACACAGCAGTCTCCAGGGCTGAAGTCCCTCAACTACTGAGGTCCTAGCTTCAACTCCCCTGCCTTTAGTCAGACAGAAAGGGCAGAGTGTGTCCACTCAGCTCTATCCTAGGAACTATCCTGGCTAAAGTCAGAATTCTTCCTCCCAAATTAATCCTAAAAGTCATTTTGGGATACAGACAAGGGAGAGAGGGTAGGGGCAGAAGGAGGGTTGGAGGCCTTTTACATAGCAAAGGGGACAACATAGGGCTTGACCTTCTCCTCTCCTTCTCCTCCTGCCTCCCTGAGTGTCAGCTCTTCTATCAGTGGATGTCTCTACCTCCACAGCGCCCGGATGTCACGGGGGTGGGGCCGGGCTCCAAGGGCTCCTGGTTTCATCAAGGCAGGGCTGAGGGTGAGTTGTTGAACCGGGAGACCCCGCTTAAGAAGCCAAGGCTCTGCTTTCTACTTTGAGGTGAGGGTGGGCCCACACCATCACCACATTCGGCCCTCCAGAACTCTGGAGATGGGGCAGATGAGGCCATTGGATCTTATCCAATTCTCTCTCCCGCCCTCACCCTCTCTCTCCCTCTCTCGCTTGAATTTTTGCTTAGATGCTATCGGACAGAGAGAACCCAGAAAGGTGAGTTGGGCCGGGACCTGGCCTGCTAGGAGGCGGCCCGCTCCCTGGGTAGGTTGAGCTGGTTTGCTTCGGGTCGTGGCACATAGACGGCTGTGGGGGCCGGCGGGTCCAGGGCGAAGAGGCTGGGGCCGGGGCTGGAGCGGCCGGAGGACGCGGCCGAGGCGGCGGGGCTGAGCTGCACGGCTGTGGTGTCCTGCGCCGTGCGCTCGCTGCTCTCCATCTCCAGCGCCACGGGCCCGGCGCGCCCAGCGCCTGGATCCCGGCCAGCAGCCGCCAAGGAGCGCGCGCGGGGCGCAGGGCCCCGGCCGCTACACACGCAGCAGGCCGCGAAGAAGCCCAGCGCCAGCACCAGCAGCGTCGGCCCCACGATCAGTGGTGCGTTGTGCCCCGGCAGGAAGGAGGCAAAGGCACCCACCAGTGTCACGTTCACGCCCGCCAGCAGCACGCACAGACCGCAGGCGCAGCAGAGCGCGGGCGACGGTAGGCCCGGCAGCCGGCCCTGGGCGCGGCCCTTGGGCGCCTGGGCCCCCTGGATGTTCTTTGAAAGCGGCATCTGCACACGCAGGGTACGCCTCAAGCTCCCGCCTGTGAGGGACGAGATCACCGTGGTCCTGTGGGCACACAGCAAGAGGTGCAGCTCAGCCTCCCATCTGGCTCAATTCTGTGGGTACATTCAGGGCTTTGTAGCCTAGGGTCATCTTGGGTGGCCTCCTGCTTCTATCTCTGAGTAATAACCCACGGTGCTGTGGTTTGTTATTGTTTCTTTGCTCAGTCCCCAAGTGTCCCTAGTGGCGAACCTCACCATCCACTAATCTTGTCTGCCTTCCACCTCCTTCCCTCCAGGAGGAGAAGAACCTTCCTGGGCTACTTAAGAGAGTGAATAGCTGTAAGTGCTCATCATCATCAACATCATCCTCAGTACTCCTCCAAGGCAGGTAGGTGGTTTAAGAAGCTCTTAGGAAGCCGGGCGCTGGTGGCTCACGCCTGTAATCCTAGCTACTCAGGAGGCTGAGATCTGAGGATCGCGGTTCAAAGCCAGCCCGGGCAGGAGAGACCGTGAGACTCCGATCTCCAATAAAAACCACCAGAAAACCGGAAGTGGCGCTGTAGCTCAAGTGGTAGAGCGCTTGCCTTGAGCTGAAGAGCTGAGGGACAGCGCCCAGGCCCAGAGTTCAAGCCCCACGGCCGACAAAAAAAAAAAAAAAAAGAAGCTCTTAGGTTTTAGTTACCTCCCCACGTGGAAGAAGCTTGAGGATTATCTGGTCTGGCTCATCCTTGCTAAAATGGAGAAACTGAAGCTCAGAGAGACCTATGTATCCAAGATCCAGGACCAGGAACAAAAGGACCACATGAGACTGTGGGAGGCATAGCGCTGAGTGGCACTAACTTTCTTGACCTTCAAATGAGGAGGCTCTGGACTGGGTGGGCTATGTGATAGAGAGGAGCTCTGGATGTTTCTGATGTCCAGAGTCGGGGGCCAGTCCTCACATGAGCTGGGCCCTAAGGCTCTTTCCAAATGGTGTATTCTTTTAGATTCCAGGCATGCCTCTATCCCATCAATCCAGGATTCTCCTGTTGGACCTGGGTCCAAAAACCTGAAAATGGAGACTAGAATTCCTTTCTAGGAATTTCTAGGTTTATCTGGTTCTAAGAACTATCACTGGACATCAGAATTCTGAAAATGCTTGCAAAATCAAGAGTAATACAATTAGAGTCTTGGGATTTATGACTTGGATTTGCAGATTCTGCCTTATCACATGAGAGCATTGGTAGTAGGTCCTCAAAGGATGAGACCATACTTGTGAGCTGTGTTAGTATTATGAAACAATGTCAGTAAAGAGTCCTGGATGAAGAGAAGAGCAAGCAGATGGTAGTGCAGGTGGGCGAGAGCAGAGTATTTAGGGTAGGGAACATAAGACTAACCTCATAAGATATAGTGATAATGAATGTCCTAAGCTACACAAAGTGCTTAGAGTAGTATTTCATGAACATTAACCACATCTTTTGTTGTATTTGACAAAGATGGGGGCTTTTGAAGTCTTAGATCTAAGTGGCTTGTGTCTGATTTAGAAATGGGGAAGTTGGTCTGTTTCCCAGGTAGAAGTATTTTCCTGCACAGAGTAGGATTGAAGAAAACTTGATGACTTAGGTGAGTGAAAACAAAGGCTAGTATCAGGGAAGGGTGGCTCAGATCCTTTACTCTGGACATAGGTTGGATTCAGCTTGGCCTAAGCAGGTCAGAGGGTCTCATATCCAGAGCTGACTGTACCAGGACTCCTCCATATTAAGAGGTGGCAGTTCTCCTGGGAAATGCCAGAATCATCTTGCTGCCACACCCAGCCAGTAGGAAGACAGACATGTGCTTTCTTCAAACACATGTTGACCTTAGAGGCCATCAACAAATGGTAGATTCCTCAGGAAACTCCATACTGTCTGATCCAACCTACAGCTGAGGGTTCTACCCAGCAACTATTAAAGGGATGCAGCATCCCACAATTGCTCACATCCTTGGTCTCACTGAATCCCTAAAAGTATGTAGTGTTGATTAATAGCTATATTTTATACTTGAGGAAACTGAGGCTCAGAGAAGTAAGTATTTGGGGAGTGGTGGCTGGACTGAAAGAAGAAAAGACCTGAGACCAAAGTCAGAGAATAGATGATTTGGTTCACACTGCATAAAAATTTTGCTTCATTTTAAAGAGATTCGTTTAATCCTTAGGAGGGATGAGATTCTCAGATCTCCTTCTTTCAAATTGTCTGCCTGTCCCTCACCCTACCCATATTATCACTACCTGACATTTGGCAAAGATGGAGTTCTTCTTTTCTGCAGCCTTAGGCTGGGCAGCTGACAGGGCAAGCCTGGTGGAGGGAATGGAATCTTCATCTCACCTTACCTCACACCATACTAAAAGCTGACAAGAGAAGTTCTGGGCAGCTGAGGGTCTAAGAATCTCACTTCTTTTTAATTCTCAAATTTCCCTACATTTCTTTTAATTTTCTAGCCTTTTTCTTTTTTGACAGTTGTGGGGCTTGAACTCAGGGCTTAGGTGCTGTCCCTGAGCTCTTTTGCTCAAGGCTAGTGCTCTCATGGACTTTCCTGCATGGGCTGGTTTTGAGCCAGAGTCCTCAGATCTCAGCCTTCTGAGTAGCTAGGATTATTGGTGTGAGCCACCAAGTGTCCAGCTACAATCCCCCCCTCCCATACCCGGTTGTGAGGCTTGAAATCTGGGCCTAGGCACTGTCCCTCAGCTATTCAGCTCAAAGCTGACACTCCACCACTTGAGCCACAGCACCACTTCAGGTTTTCTAGTGGTTTATTGGAGAAAATAATCTCTCAGACTTTCCTGCCAGGCTGGCTTTGAACCGTAATCCTCAGATCTCAGCTTCCTGGGTAGCTAGGATTACAGGTGTGAGCCACCAGTACACGGCCCAGCTACAATTCTTTTTCATAGATTCTAGTTTTCTATCAAAAGATACCCTACTGTTAACTGTTTATTTTAAAACATTTCAGCCTTTAAGTCCTATGCCTAATATTTCCATCATTTAGCTCTCCAGAGAGGTTGTTTCTAGAGACTGTTTTATTGCTCTTGGATTTTGGTCATCTTGTCTTATCTCCTTGAATGACAGATACTTTAAAGGGGGATGTTGTGCTACGGATTGAATCCAGGACATTGTATATATCAGCAAATGCTCTTACTACTGAGAAATTCACCACATCAGCCCTTAGATAACAATAGAGAGAGCATATACTCCAGATAGAATTTACTTACTGCTCCCTCAAGCATCTAAAGAAGGAATAAGGCTACTTTAACCTAATCTGGGATGGATCTGATTAGAAACTCTGTTCCAGTCTTCTTGAATCTAGTCAGTATCTGTCTAGTCATTGTAGCCCTTTGGGCCAGTTAACTGAAATCTGGAGGAAGGTTCGTGTATATAACTCAGTGAAAGAGCATGTATCTACAGTGGGCAAAGCCCTGGGTTTGGTCTCCAGTACCAGAAAAAAGGAAAACAAGATAAAAGCTGGTGGTGTTTAATTGGACCCCTCCCTTTTGTAAGCCCTGAGTTCTAGTTCTGATTCCCTTACCCCATTGCCTTCTACAAACTGTGAAATACTTTAAAGGAATGATTGAAACAAAATATTATTTCTTTTCTCTCCACCATCTTGGCCTCCTGGACTCTTTATTGTCTATAAACAGATTTTGTTCTTTTTTTTTTCAGTACTAGAGATTGAAATCAGGCCTCCTTTCTGGTAAAGCGGGCATGAGGGAGGCTGAGTGATGCTTCCAGCCCATTTTGGCCTTGATTATTTTCCAGGTAGAGTCTTGCTTTATGCTTGCATTGCAATTCTACTTGTGTTGCCCAATATCACTGGGGATGACAGTCATGTGTCACTGTGCCCAATCATTATGCTTCCTCTGTAGCTAGGATAACAGGAATGTACCACTGCTCCCAACTATTGAGAGAGATGGAGTCTCAAGAACTTTTATGGACATGCTAATCTTGATCCTCTAATCTCTACCTCTTGAGTAGCTAGGATTATAGACTTGAGTCAGCATGACTGTCTTACAAAGACATTTCTTAAAGCCCAACACTGGGACCGGGAAGGTGGCTCAGAAGAAGAGTGCTTGCCTTGCATACATGAGGCCCTGGGTTCGATTCCTCAGTACCACATAAGCAAAAAGAAAAAAAGCTGGAAGTGGCGCTGTGGCTCAAGTGGTAAAGTGCTAGCTTTGAGCTGAAGAGCTGAGGGACAGCGCCCAGGCCCAGGGTTCAGGGCCCACAACCAGACCTCCCCCCAAAAATAAAATTAAAATAAATAAATAAATAAAAGCCCAACACTGGTGGTTCACACCTGTAATCCTACATACATAGGAGGCTGAGATCTGAGGCTTGAGGTTCAAAGCCAGCCTGGGTCAGAAAGTCTGTGAGACTCTGATCTCCTTTTAATCACCAGAAAACTGGAAGTAGAGCTGTGGCTCAAAGTGGTAGAGTGCTAGCTTTAAGCAAAAATGTTCAGACACAGTGCCCTAGTCCTGAGTTCAAGCCCCATGACTGACAAAACAAACAAACCATGACATCTCCTAAATATTCAATCAATTTTAAGGCTCTTCTCAATAGTAAGTTGAGTGAGTCTACCTTAGCTAGAAACAGAAGTCTAGATGGGAATCTGGCATTTGTATTTTCAGACTAATAATTAACATTTGTGCTATATAGAATGCTTAAGAATGTTTAATTTTTATAACATAAGATTGAGTATTACTATTATGTCCTAATTTGACAGATGAAGACATTGTAACAGTTTCTATAAAGTCACTCAAGACTACTCAATGGCAGTGATGGTACAAGGATTTAAATTTGCTGTTTTGGTGCCCTGAAACCTGAGCTCTCAACCTAGCTGGTGCTAGATTAACATTTAGCAAATGTTACATGACTAAAGCACCAGGCCCTAGCTCTTCTCCAGGTCCTGTAGGTGAGCTCCTGTAATTAGGACTTACACTATTCAAATGTCAACAGGAGAGCAGCACAGGATATGTTTTTTCTACTGTAAGGAAAGGTAAACTCTGCTCATCCTGGGATTTAGTACACTTGATTCAACAGATTGCAAATTCGTGCTTAGGGACCCAGCTTCCAAGAGCTAATTGCCAATGAGTGATTCTTATCTGGGAGGGAGAGCTGGCAAAGAGAGCTGACTTGGAAACAAAACAGCTCCTAGAAGAGTATCTACCCAAGGCACAGAAAGATGTAATAAATTGTGGGTGTTGGGTTTATTCCTGAAGTTTCCTCCATTGTGGTGAACAGGGATTTGGATATATGCAGGGGTGAGGTGTTGAGGTCATTCAGTGTGCTTGCCATTCAATTTGCCCTGCCATTTCCTATGGCAGACTGTGGCCCTGGATGCCACTGGTGCAGGGCTGGACTTATTTTGTGTGACTGGCACTGCCAGGATTGTCCTTGGTGCTATTCATGCCATCTTTCTGGTATTTCCCTCTTCTAATCATGTTAAAGCAGCATTTCTTGCCTGATTTGAGCTCTGGCAAATGTATTCTAGGCTATTAAGGAAGCAGGGCCCCCTGAGCTGATGCTAGTGCTATCTCAAATCTACCAAGCCCTATTTGATTACAAGCCCAGCCTTCAAGTCCAGTGCCTGAGCACAGAGGAGGTCACTGCTTTGAATCATGAGTTGCTAGGTTTGGAGAACTGTTGCTTTAGCGAATCCCCCAAGCTGCTGAATCTGGGGAGATCACCTGGACCAAATGCTTCTGCTTAAAATTTTATTCTAAAAATTATTACTAGGATTATGATGGTTATTATCATTTGCAGTGCTAAGGACTGAATCCAAACCTCACTTATGCTACATAAGTGCCTTACCACTGAACTGTATATCTTTTGTCTTTTTTTTTTTTTTTTTAGCAAACGTACTTATTTTGAGACAGGGTCTTGATAAGTTCCCTTGGTTGGCCTCAGATTTGCAATTCTCCTACCTCAGCCTCCCGAGTAGCTGGGATTACAAGCATACATCACCACAACTCACAACCAAGCCTTCCATCCAGATGGGAGAAACTGAGGCTTGGCATGGGAAAGGTCATGGAGGGAGTCTATGCCAAATCAGAACAGAATCGTCCTTTTTCCAATCCGAGTGTTCTGAACACTGATATCAGCTGCCAAGGATTCTGCTTAAGAAATTCTTCATCCCTGCCACCCTATCTTTGGTCAAGAAGATCTTGGCACTCTATTTGAAAGTCCAGTCTAGAAGCAGTTTGGGGCAGGGGCAGGCACTTGGGAATTTTGAGTTGAACAACTTGGAAGAACTGGGACTCCTTTTTGGGTAATTGTAAAAAGAAAGAAAGAAGGAAAGAAAGAAAGAAAGAAAGGAAGGAAGGAAGAAGGGAAGAAAGGAAGGAAGGAAAAAGGGAGGGAGGGAGAGAGAGAAAGGAAGAAAAGAAAGGAAGGAAGGAAAGAAGGAAGGAATGAACTAACGAACGAACAAGCCAGGCACTGGTGGCTCACGCTTGTAATCCTAGCTATTCAGGAGACTGAGATCTGAGGATCAAGGTTCAAAGCCAGCCCAAGCACAAAAGTCTGTGAGACTCTTATCTTCACTAAACCACTCAGAAAACAGAAGTGGCACTGTGGCTCAAGTGGTAGAGCACTAGCCTTGGGCTGAATAGCTGAGGGACAGCTCCCAGGCCCAGAGTTCAAGCCCCACATGACCAACAACAAAAAGAAAGAAAGAAAGAAGAAAGAAAGAAAGAGAGAGAGAGAGAGAAAGGAAGGAAGGAAGGAAGGAAGGAGTAAAAGAAGTGTGCAGCCAAGTTATTGTCCCTGAATTAAGGTCCCTTGTCAACTTGCTGCTCTACCTTCAGTTAGCAGAGGTTTATAAAGGTGGAAATGGGGACTTGGTTTTATATGGCTGGTTGTTGAACTACTATGAAATTGAAAAGTCCATGTTTCTCCGCACCAGAATTACTGCTTCCTGGAAGGTATGGAGATATTTCTTTTCTTTTCTTTCTTTCTTTCCTTTCTTTCTTTCTTTCCTTTCTTTCTTTCCTTCCTTCCTTCCTTTCTTTCTTTTTCTTTCTTTCTTTTTTTTGTCGATTGTGGGGCTTGAACTCAGGGCCTGGGCACTGTCCCTGAGCCTCTTCATGCCAAAGGCTAGTGTTCTACCCCTTAAGCTATAGCACCACTTCCAGTTTTTGAGTGGTTTATTGGATATAAGAGTCTCAGGAGGACATTTCTGCCAAGGCTGGTTTCAAACTACGATCCTCAGAACTAAGTCTCCTGAGTAGCTTGGATTACAGGCTTGAGCCACTGGTGCTTGATTTGGAGATGTTTTAAAAGAGTATAGTCATTGATTATAACCAGGTAATCATCAACAAGCTTAGGAGTGGTTCTTGGCAGAGGCAAGAGTTCTTAGGGAGAGGGTTTCTGGCTGAAGACCCTATAAGTGAGTTCATGGTTCTAAGATGTTCATATTGCATGAGATCAGCTGCTTTTCCCAGCTGCAGTTGCCCAGCTTGTGGTCTCAGGATTGTACTCAAAGGCCCCAAGAGCCTCTGGATGAGAGACCTGGGCTTTGGCAGAGATCCCCCACTCACTCCACACCCTCTGTCCTCCATGTGAGACCCTGCCCTCATTTGCTCATTGGAAAGCTTTGTTCTTTCAGTAGTAATTCTTCTGTTTCCTTTCCTGAAGTCTGGGCAGCCTATTTGTCTGGTGCTTCAGCCCCCTCTCTATCCCCAGCTCTGCCCCCTTCCTCAGGGAACCTCCCACATCACTGTTACTCATTGCTGGCTGAGGGTTATTCACTATGCTGCAAGCTCTGAATTTTGTCTCCCCAGAGCCCAGAGAGCCACCATCACCCCACTCCACTCAATCTACAGGCCCTTGCCCATCCTAGGCACACAGATGAGTAATCCCCTCCCCCATATTCCCCAACCTAAAAACAAGGCTTGAGGATGAAGGCCTGGCTTTGCCTGAGGGGATGTGTATGTATGTATGCTCACCCCCCCCCCCCCACCCAATGGCTAGACATAATGGCCAGCATATTTGCAGCTGCATTCCACACAGTGCTGCAGACAGGGTGAAATACAAACAGGTAGACACCTTCCCAGTTTCCTCTGTGATGGAGTGGGCTGCAGCTCAGCAGAGCTTCCTCTGCAGATGCCCTTCCTGGGAGAGTGGAGGCAGAGGCAGGTGCTTGAGAGAAGTGGTCCCTTGGGAGAGGTAATGGGAACAGCTTTGCTTCAGTCATTCTGATGGCATTCTCACATGTACAGTAGGTCTCCATGCCTCTAGCTAGCAAACCCCTCACAGCCTTGCAGGCTCTGGCTTCCAGCAAATCAGAGAGCCCCTGGATTCTGCAGCTTTCTTTGCAGTAATCACAGCCCTGTGTACATTAGACTAACCTGTGCACCCATTTGGGAAAGGTGTCTCCTCTGCATTCTGCTTTCTGTCTTCTGATTCCTTCTAGTCCTTCCTGATGCTCTCAGCCCAGTTCCCAGCCAGAGCAGATTGGAATCTTTGGCCTTAGTCTGGACCTCTGCCTCCTTCCTGGAGCAGCTGGAGGAGATTTCAGACTGCTGGAGTGG